CCTTTCACTTTCCTTTCTACCCGCGGCTCATTCTCCGATCCACTGCCCACCAAAATATCTACCAACCAGAGCTCTCAGCTGAAATAATTTTAGCATGACAACGAGCATAAAAGTCTTCACAGCTGTCTCGTCAGAATACACTTAAACCCGGGTTCGAGGGCCACATCTGCAACAAGGGAAGAAAAGGAGACAACAGCAGATGTGAATTCACGCTCTATTTTTCAAGTTGATAACTCTCTGATTCGAACGAAATGCACACAAAAAGTCACAGTTTCTCGTCTGCGATGTTCAAGATTAGAACCCATTTTAGTCTCCCTCGCAGCCGTTTTTAGTCTCGTCACGCAACGCTCCTCCCCAGCGTTGCGTGACGAGACTAAAAACGGCTGCGAGGGAGACTAATGCTCGTAAGACCATTCGATACCCCTACTTCTGGTTTATTTAGCTCCCTGACTCACAAAGTAACTTTACTATCTTGGTACTAGTAGATAACAAATTATACAACGCTGAGAAAATATCGAGACCCAAACGATCCATTAAGGTCACTGATCTTCACTTGCACCTCCGCCAACGTCATCTATTGCATAATTTTCTTATTGCAAAAAGATACACATCGGCGAAACAGGAGGACGAATAGGTGACCGATTCCGAGAACACCAGTTGCGACGTAGAAAGGAATGACAAGGACGCATCAAAACCAGTCACTAGACACTTTATTTTGCCTAATCAAATCTAAGCAGCATATGGCAATAGGCCATTTTACAGTTCTGCGCTTGGTTGCCAAGCCTTTGATTTGGAGTGAGGCTGAAGGTGACCTTGTTGTGATAGAGACCAGCAGCTATTTAGCAAGATAAATTTGAAGAGCAGCCACGTCTATGATCATAACAAGGTCACCCTTAGCCTCACTCCCATTCAAAGGCTTGGTAACCAAGCATGCAACTGTAAAACGGACTATTTGCGGTCTTTCCTTTCATTTAGGTAGCTCGGAAAACCTCAGAACTCTTGAACGAAAGTTTATCTTTTCAAATCCTTATTGATAATTTTCATTCTTGTAACCTGCCTTTGAAAATGTAAGAATAATTTACATACTGATTACTCCTTGGAGCCAATAATCTACAGATTTGCCTCCAATTTATATGATACATTATTTTTATAGTGAAACATAGCATTAAGGCAAGTATAAGGACCCCTCCCCCCTCCCCTCCTCGGGATGTCATCATGCATCGCGTTTCAAATTAGGACTTGACAAAGAAACTGAACTAGCTGCAGCCAATGTTTGGCTCAGGTCGGCAAAGCTTTCTAAAACACTAAAAGTTATCAAAACCGATTGTGGTATCTTACCTCTTTAAGTAGATGTTAATTCCCATGAGCGTGACCTCCGTTCGGTAGATGTTTATGATACTTGCATGGATACAACGCCGAATACAACAAATATGCGATTAATTTTCCCGAAATCGCACGACTACTGAAATTTACACGTGGAAATGTCAGAATAAGTCCAACTCCATCGGATTATAACCCAGACCGTGTAAGATCAAGAACGAAATTGTTTGGCCAAATTAATTATCTTGCATTTCTCAACTTCCGGTACAATCGGGCAGTGCACGTGACGTCTTCGTAAAAGAAATCCGACGATGTCACCTCCGACAAGTCGATGTTACTCTGACGTCACCTGAATATAAACGCACACACAACCCATAATACCTCATTTCCAAAGGTCAGCATTGTAACCTTTACGGTGGCCAAATTACACTTTCAGCGTAGTTAATATAACCGAATTACTGTCTGAACCAGTTATGGATGCCCCTCCCGACGAGAAAAAGAAAGTGGTATTCCCTGACGAAATACATGAAACTCCTATGCAATGTGCTGCTCGGGATGTTAACCACGAACTAGTTGAGGAAAGAGTAGGTGACGCGTCTGGAATAGATGGCAAAGATCAACAAGAAAAGACCCCGTGGCTCTTTGCGGCTAAAGGTGGACACAGGTGCTTAAATTATTCTCGATTACGGGTCTATGAGGGCGAATATCACTATAGGTGAAGCCGAAACACATTTCGTGCCCTTAACTCTGATCAGTAAGCATAAATTAACACACACTAGCTGCAAAATCTTCAGGCCTCAGTGAATACTTAGTTATTAAATCATAACATTTTTAAAAAGCTTAAGCGTGATTATTGGCGATTTTGAATGAGTTAACCATAGAAAATGGAACGCACTGTTTATTCCCGACGACAATTAATCTTCGAAAATTTACCTCTGTTCAGTTTTAAATGCCACCAACGGTCAAATTACAAGTGAATGGAAATGTGTATTATGGAGTCGTGAGTCTACATGTTTGTTTTCTACAATTGCATATGTAAACCTTGACTTTTCCACTGAAAAACTGAAGCACTTCTCTTGGCTGGACAAAAGGGGATTTAATGCGACCTCCACTCATCGAACGCCTTGAATTTTCGGTAGAAATGTTCAAATTCAAGAGAATTTGAGGCGAACAAATTGTTTCGGAGAATTCAGATAAAAGGGATCTTCAGCAAACCTTGACGACAACGGCAACGAGCAGGTAGCAAAACAGATCTAATTTGCCGAAAAATAGCCAGTACGTGCGTTTTAAAACTTTGTACATTTCTTAGCCATCCTTTGCAAAACAACAACGTGAAATCACTAAAATTTGCGTCACAAGGGCAAATTGTTTTAATTTCCATTTCGAACGCAACGCTGCTTATATTCGTCATGCTGAAGTTGAGGTGTTTTGCCGTAAGAGACCGTAAACACATGCAGCCATTTCGAAATTCTAATTAAAAGTACAAATTCACTTTTTAATCGAAATCTTCCTTGGTGTTGCTATCCTGACTGCGTTAGGGTCGCAGTATGAATGAGAGTCACGTTAATTAATGAAATATGGCTTTTGGGCCGCGTGTCAATCTTTTTAAAACCAAATTTAACACCACAAAATTTAAAACATCTTTTAATAGATATCTGTCACGATCGAACGCGGCCTGTGTCAATTAGAGAGGAAAAAAAAGCGCGTGTACACTTTTGAATGAACAAACAGTACGCACACGAGTTAAATGACCAATGCGACGATCTTCTCTTTAAAAAAAACTCAGAGATCTCACGGAAAGTATTATTTATTCTCAAAGAAATCAATTTTCGAAATTAGAGCAATTTCAGGGAGAGAGAGAAGAGAGAAATATGAGTAAGGCCCTGTTTACAAGCAAGGAGGGTAACCCTTTTGCAAGGGTTAGGCCCTGTTTACAAGCAAGGAGGGTAACCCTTGTGCTAGGGTTACCCTAGCAGGCGGGTCAAAGATAGCCCAGGTTTACAAGCAAAATTTCACAGGTAGGGTTACCCTACCACCCGGGACAACTTACCTATGCTTGGTAACCGCACACATTGTTATCAATGTTCAAAGGGTCTGGAAACAAGTAAAAAGTTTTCCCAGGTAGGCGAGTTATCCCCAGAAGAGCGTTTACAAGGCAGCTAGGGTTACCCTGGCGCTAGGGTAACCCTAGCGCTCAGCTGAGGTTACCCTAGTGCTAAGGTAACCCTAGCTGCCTTGTAAACGCGTTGATGAAAAATAGAAGAAACGTGGGAGCGTTAGGGTAACCTTCCTGCCAGGGTAACCCTAACACTAGGGTTACCCTACCTGCTTGTAGACAGGGCCTAACTTTGACCATGATGCATAATAAAGTCAATGAAATAACATCAACTGTTGAAT